CGCTGCCTAGCCATTGGTTCGTTTTTAATACACTGCACGAACCAATGGCCGTGCAGTTTCACTGCGTGAATGAAAAGGCTTCAGTTCAGGAGAAAAAAGGCTTTTTTCCCATATGTGTCTAGCAAGACGCAGTACTCGTTCCCGTATCTCAGGGAACCGAGGTTACGTTGGTAACCGAGTACGTTTTTTAGTCATGACTAGAAAGGAAAACATTGTACCCAACAGTGCAGTTAGTGATCTGGTAGGTCTGTGTGCATTGGGAATCATATTTTGCTTAAAGACCATTTTAGGTACACAAACACATTAATTGTTCTATATGCAAGCATCAAAATATGTCTAAAATGTGTATATGTCTACGTGTAAATATGTCAAAATATGTGTAAAATTAAATATTACATGAATATGACAGCGCCCAACTATATAGTGCAGCATATTTTGAAATCAAGGATTTAAAGTTGCAATAAAACTGAAGTCGTGACCGATCCTTTCTTTCATATTGTAGCGTGTATGCGAGTGTAACAATTTATGAAAAAGAAAAAAAAATTCAATTTAAAAAGTGGATCAACGCAAGCCTGCAGGGTTATTAAATTAGATTAAATTATTGGAAAAGTCCTGCATATCTCACCAGAGAGAAGTCTATCATTTTACCAGAAGATTGAGATAAGATATTTTGTTTAAAGATTAAAAGGTCAAAAAATATGTTCATGGATGAATTGTTCACAAGATGTAATGTGCATTTAGAAAATAGAAATTTCATTTCATGCTGACTTTAAAGATTGTTGTACATGCGTGTTCAGTGACAGACAAAAATCTCCTGTCTGCATCCAATTAGCACGACGGACATCACACCACAGTACACCCGACTATGCATGTTACAAATAGACACGTAAACTGCACCAGTTAGTGCTTACCACAATTTTTAAAAATGCTACAAAAGTGGGCATGGTAAAGCTGTGGAGTGGAGTGGAAGAGGGAAGACAGACAACACAACAGCATCTTCAGATTCAAACAGTTTAATTTCACTCCCATTGAAAAAGTTAAAAAAGTTAAATAATTTAATTCACAAATACAGTGGGTATAGAAAAGAATCACCCCCATTTAAAATAATTACATTTTGTTGCTTTGCAGCCTGAAAATGAAGACGGTCTCAGTTTCTGTGTTATCCAGCTGTATTTACTTGCTTATAAAATCCAAGTAAAAGATATGAAACCAAAATGTCAGGGGGAAAAAACAAACAAACAGAATCACTGAGTTGGAAAAAGGATCACCCCCTCCTAAAAATCACTTGTGAACTCAATTAGGTGTAACTAATCACCTTCTCAATAGCACACAAAGCCATTTGACTTTCAACTGTGATCAGCTGTGATCATTTTGAGTAGCTCAGCATGAAAAGAGCTTTCCTGGAGCATTTCAGTCCTTGATAGTGCAACTGAAGCAAACAATCAACTATGGGTGACAAGGCACTGTCAAAAGATCTCCAGATAAAGTTGTGGACGCCTGTCATTTCTGAAAATTCTGTCATTAATTACTCACCCTCATGTCGTTCCAAACCCGTAAGACCTTCGTTCATCTTCGGAACACGAATTAAAGGGTTAGTTCACCCAAAAATGAAAATTCTGTCTTTAATTACTCACCCTCATGTCTTTCCAAACCCGTAAGACCTTCGTTCATCTTCGGAACACGAATTAAAGGGTTAGTTCACCCAAAAATGAAAATTCTGTCTTTAATTACTCACCCTCATGTCTTTCCAAACCCGTAAGACCTTCGTTCATCTTCGGAACACGAATTAAAGGGTTAGTTCACCCAAAAATGAAAATTCTGTCTTTAATTACTCACCCTCATGTCTTTCCAAACCCGTAAGACCTTCGTTCATCTTCGGAACACAATTTAAGATATTTTTGATGAAATCTGAGGGCTCTCTGGGATATGTCTCTACTAACTTTTACCACTCTTCTTTGCAGAACTGCTCAAGCTCAGTTAAAGGGTTAGTGCACCCCAAAATGAAAATTCTGTCATTAATTACTCACCCTCATGTCGTTCCAAACCCGTAAGACCTTCGTTCATCTTCGGAACACTATTTTTTCAGTTCAAAAATTGGAGTCAAAGCTTGGAGTTCAAAAGCTTTTTTAATGTTTTTGGTGCTCAAGAAACATTGTTATTAATTTTTAAAAAGTTTAAAGGGTTAGTTCACCCAAAAATGAAAATTCTGTCATTAATTACTCACCCTCGTGTTGTTCGAAAACCCGTAAGACCTTCGTTCATCTTTGGAACACAATTTAAGATATTTTTGATGAAATATGAGGGCTCTCTGACCCTCCTATAGACAGCAAGGTAACTACCACGTTTAAGGTCCAGAAAAGTACCAAAATATTATGAGATATCTGGATAAAACGCGCGTTCACGACAGTACCATGATGCGAGCGTGTGGCGACGCCGGCACTGACCCAGATCTGGCGTGATGATGTCATTACGCCGGATCTGGGTCAGCGCCGCCACAAGTCGTGAACGCACGTCCAAAGTGACCCAGTAGAGACAAACATGTGGAATAAAGTCGTTATTTTTGTTTTCTTTGCACAAAAAAGTATTCTCGTAGCTTCGAAACTTTACAGTTGAACCACTGATGTCACACGGACTACTTTGTCGATCATCTTGGTACTTTTCTGGACCTTGAACGTGGTAGTTACCTTGCTGTCTATGGGAGGGTCAGAGAGCCCTCATATTTCATCAAAAATATCTTAAATTGTGTTCCGAAGATGAACGAAGGTCTTACGGGTTTTCGAACAACACGAGGGTGAGTAATTAATGACAGAATTTTCATTTTTGGGTGAACTAACCCTTTAATTCGTGTTCCGAAGATGAACGAAGGTCTTACGCAGGGTTCCCACGCTTCTTGAAAGTGCTTGAAAGTACTTGAATTTCAGACATATGGATTCAAGGCCTGGAAAGTACTTGAAGACAAACATAGGTCCTTGAAAGTGCTTGAATTAAATTTGAAATAAAATTTATGCAGGGATTAAAGTTTTTCATCGCTACGACAGATTTCCGTCAATCGGAAAAAAAATTAGGGGAAAAGAAACATGTAGCGCATTGTTGTTGTTCTGCCGGCACACCAAAACTCATTCCCGGCCACGGCTGCAGCTTCTCAGTGACAACATAGGGATGACTATTTTCCAGAACTGCAACCTTGAGTATCCAGAATTACAAGGTGACAGGTTTTCAAAGACTTTGCTTGGGTAAAAAATCCTTAAAAATGACCCCTACTTAATAAGAATAACATTCTGAAGTGTTGTGAAATACATGAAGACTATTTTTATATGCTTTATGGACAGATAAGTTGAGAGTGGCTCTTGAAGGACCAGCACCATATCCTCTTGTACCACTGTTTGAAGAATTTATCTTCCAGAATCTGGCAGTAAGTTTTAGGAGCTCATTTTTGTCAGTCTCTGCAAGACAGACTTTTCAGGATAGGAGATGGACTAAAAATGAACTCCCAAAACTTACTGCAACGGCAACCTCACCGCTAAATGCCGCTAAAATTTACACACTGCACCTTTATTACAACAGTTCAATAAACACTGACTGCCTGATTTTGCTCCATTTCTTTAACGAAAATAGTTCCAAATTAAGTAACAGCTTAGCCACTTCGCATCTCTAAAAGCAAACAGCTGAGTTTCATTCATTCAATGAAAGTGCATTTTTGAACGAATCTAGTGAGTCAGTGATTCATGATTACCCATTCATAAAAGTAGCGTAAAGTAATCAGCCATTCGAACGAATCAATTGAATTAATGATTCAGTGACT